AAAAGATTCGGCAAAAATGACGGATTTTCGATCTTGGGATTGAGAACTTAACTGTTACTAGCTGTCGCTTGCGACTTCGTCCACGTGGAAATTAATAAAAACTTAATAAGTAGCATATGTGTTCTTCCAGGCTATGTTCTATATGTGTGCCAAATTTCATCAAAATCCGTTTAGCCGTTCTGGAGATACTTTCAAAGAAACATCCATCCATCTAAGCATTCGCTTTAACAGTAAGATTTCATATACATTTATTTTTCATATTTTTAATATAGTACATTTTATATCCAAAAAAAAAATGCAAAACATATTATATTAAAAACAGAACACCACCGGGTGCGGAGTCCCATGACTCAAACAACCAGTGGTCAGGGCTGCAAAGACAAGGAACCTTCTCACGATGCGCGCGGTTTCTAGGATAACTGCCTTTTGTATCGGGCCCTTAATCCAATTGTGTAGCGAGAGCTTCTTGAGATGTTGGTCGAAGCTCTTCGCTATCAGTCCATTTACCGATACGAGATTCTTGATAGACTTACTTATCTTATTAATTATCTACAATTCCAAATATATATTTTATGTTTATTTTATATGATCTTGGCACGTGAATTCTGAGCTGGTAGGTCATTAATTTTACCGAATGCATTTGAAATGGATATTTGCATCAATGCCAAGTCGACGTGCCAAATATTGGCTTCAAACAGTAATGTTTTTACTGCACATAATTAGATTAAGATATATCAATGGAATCACACCTTTAAATGAAAGTGAATGGTTTAATTTATGAAATTATAAAGTCCCTTCGTATTTTATGAACAAACTTAATTACGGCAGTATTTTTTATATGATTTTTGATAGAAAGAGAAGAGTTTGTTTAAACGCGCTAATCTCAGGAACTACTGGTCCGATTTGAAAAATTATTTTTTTGTTGGATAGCCCATTTATAGAGGAAGGCTTTGGGCTATAACATAACATTACGCTACCATAGGAGCAAAGAAAAATGCAATTACAAGATAATCGCGATAGTGTTCCGACAACCACGCGAATGAAGTAGCGGGCATGGTTAGTTATAAGTTCGTAAAAATACAGTTTTAATAAAACTTTTCCTTGTAATATTCGGCCAAAATAAATGGCATTTAAGAGATAAACATGTGTACGCAAAAAATTGTGTCTTAATATTAAGTAACCAATACTTATTTCCTTTCTAACTTTCTAAACCGATAGCAAAACAGTTATATTCTTGAAACTGGTTATATTAAAAATTGATCATGGAATTCTTATATAAAAAAACATATTTCATAAGCATGCTTATAACAAAAGAAAATTTGTCTTGTCCACAAATCAGAGTTTGTTCCGGATAATCTCCGAAACAGCTGGACCGATTTTAACCGGACTTTTAATAAAATGTAGCCGATGTGTGTAGGAATAACTAAGGATATTTTGATTAATTCTGCGCTGTCATATCGGACGACAGCTAGTTTAAAATAATACGTTCCGGTCGATTTGGAGGCCGGTCTTTCAATTGCTTTATTATTGGACAATAAAAATAGACGTATCACGTCATAGGATGTACTGTAATTATTTAGGCGAAGCGCCAAGACTAAATCATACCAAACAGAATATATCAATAGAAAAGATTGACGCAAATATGTGAAGAGGGTGGTACAGACGTAATCTATGGCAACGTCACTTCGTATGGACGTCTATGGGCAACGGTCACTTCGCTACTTCAGCGATTTCAGATGGCCGCTCGCTCGTTTGCCACCTTATGATATAAAAAAAATGTAATAACATTTCTACTTCATTTATGTAAATAAGTCCTCTTTTAGTAATATTTAAGGGGTGTGACTGTGTTGGAAAGTGGCCCGGCCCGCTCACGTGCGCCTGCGCACGCACGCCACTGCGTCTTCGCTAGGGTTGTCATACCCAAGTTAATTGCAATTAAAGTGACATGTAAGTCTAAATAATAATTAAAAAAATATACGGTTTATGTAATTTATTGTTATTATATTTGTAAATAAGTATTTAACTGTTTCTAATTACTAATATTATATATGCGAAAGTTAAAATGGATGATTGTTAGAAGGAATCACTGGAATTTCCTAATAAACATTGATAAAATTTGGCATAGATGGAGAACATCTGGAAGAACACATAGGCTACTTATGGTTTTTTTTAATTCTGAGCGGACGGAGCTGCGGGCGACACCTAGTGATACATATTTCAATAATTAATTCAATTTGTTTTAATCAATCCTTTCCTTCTCTTTGAAATAAGATGTTGAATAAGTTTACTTATTACGGTAGTAGTTTTATTTTTATATTTTTCTCAAATGTTGACAACCCTAATTAAAATCTGGGAAGTGGGTGTGTAGCTCACGTGACTTTAGTCTCGTATGATGGTGACTTGTGAGTTGTTGTTCATTTGTTCTAATTTGGATAGTCACGTGCACCTTGTGAAATATTTATCCTTTTTTTTATTATTTCGAGACATCACATAGCGGTTCCTAGTGGGTCTTATGTTCAACATACTCACGCTCGTAATCATGAGGTGTAGGTAGAGACCACGAACCTCTTGGCACCCTATTGACATATCTCTCATAATATTATAAAAGCGAATGTTTAAATCGACGGATGGATGGAAAGATGGATGGTTGGATGGATGTGTCTGATAGTATCTCCGGAATGCCTGCATGGATCTTGCTGAAATTTGGCATGGAGTCTGGAAAAACACATAAGCTACTTATCAAGTTACTTGTAACTCCGTTCGGACGCAGTCGCGGGCGACAACTAGTAACATTATAAATGCGAATGTTTGGATGGATTAATGTTACAAAGTATCTTCAGAATGCCTGTATGAATCTTTCTGAAATTTGGCATAGAGTAGCGGGCGATAGCTAGGGTAAAAACAAGTATAAAACAATGCAAAATGTAGGCGTGTCTCACGTGCCCCCTAGCGTCAATGACGTGCAACTAATTGTTCTATTTTTAAACGAGTCATGTGCTTCGGGAATTCGCATAGATTTACGTAGTTGGCTAGAAATACAATCAACGCGTACTCTTAATTAATAAATTGTCGTGATTGAAATCGCGAAGAGTATAACGTTTGGCATTTACACTTGTTTATATTTGACACACTTTTAATACGTGAATTAGTGAGATTTAAGAAATTATATGTAAACTAATACGATAACAGAACGTACTAGTGATACATACAACAATTTCTTATAAGAAAAGGATAGGCATGGAACGTAGATTTGATAGAGGAAGGAGCCGTAAAAGCAGGGAAATATTCACATTCTATTCGTCCCCTCCGTCTATGGACAGTGATTGCTTCGCTATTTCGGTGACTAAAACGTCATATAATATTGAAATATTCATTATAAAGGTAAGCGTTTATTATGTACTAGTTGTCGCCCGGGACTTCGTCTCCACGTAATTAAAAAAAAAGCTTAAATAGTAGCCTATGTGTTCCTGCAGACTATGTTCTATATGTGTGCCAAATTTCATGGAGATCCCTCCACCCGTTTAGGTGCCTACAAACAAATATCCATCCATCCGAACATTCACATTTATAATATTAGTTAGATTAAAGATATCTGTTTCTTTTTCGACTGTAAGGAATCCCAAATCATGTATGTATAATTTGGAAAGTATGAACCAAGGTTGTTCACAAGGTGAGTCAATCTTCCAATTGCACTCAATTGGATCTCAGGAACGGATGCCCGCTGTTTGCGCTTTGTGTAGGTGTCACCGACCAAAATTAACATTGACACAGGCGCTGGAAAACTTTATGTTTATATTGAGTTATTGAAACCTTTCTTACCTTATTACTTAATGAGTAGCCTATGTGTTCTTCCAGAATATGTTCTATCATCATCATCAGCTCACTATCCGTCCCCACCGAGGGGCTCGGATCCTACCCTAAGTTAAGGGTGATGGAATATGATCTATACTTTGTCAAATTTCATCGAATTTATCATAACAATCATCGTCAGTTACAGTCCACCAGTATACATCGGGCTTTCCAATTGTCTCCCACAATAATCTTACTTACTAATGTTATAAATGCGAATGTTTCGATGGATGAATGTTTGTTAGAATGTATCTCCGAAACAACTCAACGGATATTGATGAAATTTGGCTTAAATGTAGAACATAATCTGGAAGAACACATAGGTTACTAATCAAGTTCGTTATAACTGTTCGGAATCGCAAGCGACAGCTCCTCAATATAATGCTAGCTTGCAATTACATAACTTTGTATTCCTGATATAACAAACTTTAAACTGATATGATCCAGTCCAGTGATATCAAATATTTCCTGCAGACGTTTCTGGGCGTCAGAAGGTCGCTGGGAATGATTAGTCGCGTCTCTTCTTGTCACAGTAATAAGGCGCCAGGCTTCATTGAAGTAGTTTGACGTAGATACACAATATCTAATAAAATTGAACTCTATCAGCAGATTTGTTGGGTTCAATTTGCATTGACAATGGAAGTTGTGACGTAGCACATATTTACAAAATAAATGGATTGTCCGGTTGTAGTCTCAAGAGATCTCTCGTTCGTATCGGGCTTGTTTGAATCATTTGATTTTAAAATATCTGTGTAGGTACAAATGCCTAGTAATAAATTAGTATACTTTGGTTTGTAATATGCAAAATTTTGCTTCCGAGTTATTAAGATATATCTAAAGACACATAGGAATAGTGAATAAAGAAAACGGTCTAATTGTAAAAAATCTTGTGTCAAAATTTTTAATTAAGTTTTTTGACGATATAATTGTGATGCTACCAAACAATCCACAAAAATCTTAATAATATTTTAAATGTGAAAGTTTGCAACGGCTGCATGGATATCGCTGAAATTTGACATCGATGTAGAACATAGTCTGGAAGAGCACATAGGCTACTAATAAAGTTTTTTATTTCCACGCTGACAAATTCGCGGGCGACAGATAAGACTTACATAACTTTGTGTAAAATTATAACATGTTTCTTGTTACAGATGCATTTCGGCACAGCAGTGCCGTCTACCGAGGAGTTTCAACCATCGCCATAACACCCAAAATGACAAGCCAACCCTTTCGTAGGAAGCCGTTTAAAATTCTCAACACTTTCTTGAACACGTAAATAGAGACAATTAATAAAATCAGCAAATAAACCAAAGTTAAACTTTTGAAGTGATTTAGTGTTAGTGAATTTGTTCCTGTATTTATTTAATTTAATACGAGTGATATTAGTTTAAGTTAATTAAGTGACGTGCCATAATTATGGTGAATTTGTGGTGTTTGGTTTTCGCCGCTGTGCTTGGCTTGGTGGGCGCTGACAGGGACAGTCTTCCACCTACTTGTGATAGGTGAGTTTACATTTTTTTTAAATCTTATGCCCAGTTTTATAACCAATCTGACCATGTCTCTACGTAGTACACAGTGTGCTAGTCTTACATCTCTATCAGCCGTCATATCTGAATCCACCGTCTTTTTACGTATTTCTATCATACAATCCATACATACTTTCTTTGGACTACCTTTATAAATATCCACATTCAAACTCATTACTTTTTTGTTTGTGATCTTATACCCAGTTTGCACTATTCTAATCCAGCGATAACTGTACTAGAATTACATCTGGAAAAGTGTAAACTGTAACTGGAATGCAGTGGCGTGAAATCTTAATTTTGCTTTAAAATCTTATTATAATTCAAAAGATTTCAAAGTTGGTTTTTTATTATTTATTTTTTAATTACTGGTTTTACCAGACTATACTTTTATATTCATTAAAATGTTGTTTATATTTTACATTCAATTGAAATTTTTTCTCATAATATCAAACAAGTAATACGAATAACTACGACTTTACAATATTGTAACTCAGCTATACAAACTTAATTTGGGCTCGGAATATCCTATTAGATGCTGTGCTTAACACAATCTTATTTATCGGCGATATGTGAAGGTTTTTTAATCTAAGCCCATAACCATAGACAAATCGCACTTTATTTTAAAATTAGATAAAACCAAAATATTTCTGGTAAAGTTCTTAATCTCGCCAAACGTTTATTCATAATAGTCGCCATAAAAAAATCGACGTTCTTTTGTTTAATTAATTTGGGCTTTGGTTCGGACAGAAGGTTAACGGGATGCAGGGACAATATCGCCTCGAGTTCCTCCACGCTCACTAGGTCAACCTGTACACACAGGTCGCAGCTAACACGAGCCGTTATAAAGTTTGAATCGTATAATACTTAATATATTTCACAGATCACATGTTATGTGTATATTGCAAAACCGGAAGCAAAACGACCTTGTCAATAGACTAACTACTCTTCGAATACAATTTTTATACTACGCATAATGTAGACGTGCTTAACTTCCTATTCTAAAAGAAAAAAAAGTAAATTTGTAGGGATTATATTGCCGAATTCAAAGATATGTGTGAAGTCAAACAACCCGCACTTGGCCATCATGGTTGACTATGGCCTAATCACCCTTACCTATGGGTAGGCTCCGAGCCCCTCGGTGGTGACGTATAGCGAGCTGATGATGATGATATTGCCGAAACCCCTGTATTGAAACATATAGTCATACCATTTTTTTAAACAAAGAAGTAGGGATGCTAATACGTTTTTAACCGACAAAAGAGCTTCTTAATTCGTCTATGATTATTTATGGTTATCCAATTTATAAACGAATATTTCGGCAGTAAATTAGCTAGGCCATTTCCTACTATTCGAACTCTATCCCTCAAGGTCAGACTTGCGCGTAATCTAGATAAATAGTCTGTCACACGAGTTACATTTGTAAATACCGTTCTCTTTGCACAGTGGCAGTAACCTGACAAGAAACTGGATAAAACCGGTCAAACAGACATCTCGGTTACAAGTTATTGTAATTTTTATTTATGCATAGCCTATGTATTTGTACGTATAAGATGTAATAATGCTAATGTCTGATTGATGTCTACATCTACCGGTGTCTTGATCAGGTCAATAAGCTTATTAATATTGTTTTGTTGCAATTTTACCCGGTATTCTACTGAATAGTCAACATGGTCACAAAAATGTCCTTTTAGATCAATCCTAAGTCAAACCCCCTTTCCATCCTTTCCTTAATAGAAAATATTGGGATGGTGATCAGAACTAGAATTTGCCTCTGGTACACACTTACCCGACAATATCATCAGCTAACTCTACGTCCCCATTGAGAGGTTCAGAGCCTACCCTAAGATATCATCCATATCTAGGACTAGGACATAGTCAACCACATTGGCCTAGTGCGGATTGACTTCACACATATCTTTGAATTTCTTTGCAGGTTGCATCACGATATTTTCCTTTAATATCACCACTTATTGGACGAAACTCGGAAATCCACTTGAACCCTATCTTCTGCGAGGTCGTGGTGCTGTGCAGTTATTACTGCGGACTCTACCACTGTTAAATTAATATTTGTTTTTGTTGCTATTACAGTTTAATCTACTGCCATGGGCCGCTGCTGCATACGGTACAAATGGCTGGTCTCTACAATGACTCCAAGACCTTCGTTGACATGAAGATCAAGTTCTCTCCCAACATCACACTCGAACATTTTAGAAAGATGATGGAGAGGTAATGTTACTGGCTCTCGACCTATAATTACACTTTGATATGTGCTGCAGATGTACGTTTTGAGAACATTAGAAAAAATCGTTTTATGTTATTCATATATTTAAAAACTTTATACTTATATTACCAAAAATATGTGAACAAATGATAGAAAAAGTTTTAATTAAGAAAACTAAATGTATGTTATATATAAAATTCTCGTGTCACAATGTTAGTTACCATACTCCTCCGACGCGTCTTGGTAGATTTTTATAAAATTTGATATGCATATTCAGTAGATCTGAGAATCGGCTACTATCTATTTTTAATTCCGCGCGGGCGGAGTTGCGGGCGACAGCTAGTATTTTCTATTTATCAAAAAATAAAAAGTATAAGCTTTGTATAGGAATGAATAATGACAGTTTATCCATACATTTTCAGGTTATATCCAATGGAGCCAACAAAAGCTGATATCCAAGAGTTTGTGAACCAGAACTTTGATCCTGAGGGTTCAGAGTTTGAGGACTGGAGGCCCACCGATTGGAAAGATAATCCAGGTTAGTTTTGCTTAAATATTAAAGACAAATCTTACTTAATATTGTAAATGCAAATGTTTGGATGGACGGATGGATTTATGTTTGACGGTATCTCCAGAATAACTGAACGTATCACCGTCAAATTTAGCATACATATAGAAGATTGTCTGGAAGAACACATAGGCTACTAATTACGTTTTTTATTTAAGTGCGCGTAGACAGAGTCGCGAACGACAGCTAGTACATAAAACTCCGTATTGTAGTATTTTATATGGCACATGGGAAACATGGGTATCTTAGAATAGCATAAAGTCATGTTTTAAGATAAACTGCTTTAAAAAACAAATAAAAAAAAATAGAAGAAATTTCTCCTTCTTGAGGTGCCTCTCCGACTAACGAAGGTTGGCGTTCAGTTCTCCATATTTTCTCTTGTCTTTTGCGAGGGGAAATATTTGGGCGGCACTCGCAACTCCTGTCCACTCTCGGATGTTCCTGAACTTATGAAATTACCTATCCATATCCAATTTCAATTAACTTTCTCACAATTCTTTTTAATTCAATTCCATACAAAAGTATGTTATATTTCTCGCGTAACGAATGGAAATTAACTTCCGTTTGTTAACAACTTGTAAACAATTGATTTCTTGGTATTGATTGAAGTCACTTCTAATTTGTAATACGTTAATATGTTCCAGTCAAGTTACGAGCTAAAAACATTTACACTTGAATTAAATCATGTAACTTAAGTTTTTTTTTACCTATAGTTTTCTCTATTTTGTCAAAAACGACAAAAGAGATGTCAATATTTTGAAGCGCCAATAGCTTAATGGTTTAAGGGTGCAGGTTTCCGATCAGGTTGTCGGGGGTTCGAATACCGACATAACACTATTGTCGTAAACCATGTCCTAGCACAAGCATAGAGCTTAGTTGGAACGGTACAAGAAATATTAGTAAATTAACAAAAATCTGTTATTATTTTTAATAAAAATATTGTTTTAATTCAACATTTGGCACCTGAATTCGCCTTATTAGAGACGCGATCGCTACTCATAGACATTTGCAATTGCAGATGTGTTACCTTTAATCTCCGGAGGAACACACAGAAAGTGTTCCCAACTCCGTCATATCCACTTTCCATTATCATCTTTTCCTTAATAGAAATAGATGGAAAAGGAAAGGGGATTCAAATTAGGCTTACGGCATGCAGTTTACATATAGTGATCCTGTGTAAAAATTTTACAATAATTTCTTAAATTGGTCTACCCTCGACATAGTAACATTTTATTAGTAATATGTAAAATTACTTATTTTGTTCCATCTAATAAAGATACTGTACTCTTCACAAATATTTGAATATCTCTCTGATAAGTGGACAAAGAAATTGATAGTAACGTACTCACAATTAGTTAATATTTACTCAATTTAAGATTAAAGTCTTATTAAGTTATTGATTACATATGATAGTTGCATAGTTACAACATAACGTCTTCAAATAAAGACTATCTCTTGTTCCAATCCAAAGTTTATTTCAAGTTCTATTGTCATACTAGCTGTCGCCCGCGATTACGTCCGCGTGGAATTAAAAATAAAGTTTATAAGTAGCCTATGTGTTCTAGACTATCTACTACATGTTTGCCAAATTTCAACGAGATCCGTTCAGACGTTCTGGAGAATCCTACAAACAAACATTAATAAATGCAAAAATTTACGCGATAAAGAACTTTTTCTAGACATACACATGCTAAAAGTCTATGTTTTTTATTCCAGCATTTCTACAAAGGATCAAGGATCCACTTCTTCATCAGTGGGCGTCGGATCTGAACCGGCTGTGGCTGGAGTTAGGCAGAAAGATGAAGGAGGACGTGAAGAAGAATCAGGATCTGTATTCCATCATATATGTTGACAATCCAGTTATTGTGCCTGGTGAGTTATTGAAACTTTTAGATTTTTACTATAAAGCGGACACCTATACAAGATGTGGTGTCCTTGGACAGAACACAGGACAAAGGGGATTGAAAGGTCAAAGGAGAAGACGGTCAGAATATATTTTCCCTTCTTACACATTCTCTCTCACTCACAAGGCAGATCGGAAATTGTTTGAATCTGAACCTATGTATTTGTTTGTCTTATTGAAAGCAAAATAGCGGTGCATCTAGCTACCGCGACCCCGTGGGCGCGGAATTAAGAAATAAAAATTAATTAGTAGACTATGTGTTCTTCCAGACTATGTTTTACATCTGTGACAAATTTTAGTGAGAACCATGCAGCCGTTCTAGAGATATCTTCAAACATACGTTCAACATCTAAACATTTACATCTTACTAATATTATAAATGCTAATTATTGGATAGACGGATGTATGTTTGTTAAAAGGTATCTCCAGAACGAATGCATGGATCTTCCTGAAATCTGGTATATATGTAGAAAAAAGTCTGGAAGAACACATAGACTACTAATTATGAAGGACGGAATTGCAGGCAATACCTAGATTATAATATTAGCGAGATGAATATATTAATTTCAGGTGGACGTTTCCGTGAGTTTTATTACTGGGATTCATACTGGATCATCCAAGGATTACTGTTGTCAGAAATGAGAAGCACCGCTAGAGGCATGGTCTCCAATTTCCTTGATATTGTCGATAGAATTGGTCTTATTCCAAATGGTGGAAGAATATACTATGTTATGAGGTTAGTCTAGTAATTACTAACAGTTTAGTAATAGTAATAGCGTCGATGGCTCGGGGGTTAAGTATTTAACTTTTAATCTAGAATTCTTGGGTTCGAATCTCATCTTGTACTAATGTGTTTTACAATTTACATATGTACATTTATTCGAGGTTACGATGAAGGAAATCGTGATGCACATATCTGAGAAATTCAAAGATATGTGTAAAATCCTGCACTGGGCTAGTGTTGATTATGGCCAAGCCACTGACTTAGGGTCTGAGCCGAACAGCTTGACGTATGAGCTGATGATGTATATTTTCAGATCACAACCACCTCTTCTTATACCAATGGTCCAGTCAATAATGGAAGATTCCTTCGACATTGATTTCCTCAAACAACATATACATACATTAGATAAAGAATTTGATTTCTGGATGAAAAATCATACAGTTGAAGTTGAACATGATGGTGAAAAGTAAGTGTTAACTAGGATACAAAAATTAACTAAGAATTTAAACTGTCGAAAGCTTCTCTATGAAAAAACATTGAAAAAACAACTATTTGATTTTGTAGTCGAAATTCACTTAAATTAAATGCATGTTTGCAGATTTTAGAAAGATTTCCTTAAAAGATTGGTCCTATCATTCTTATATTGAAAAAATAAAGTTAGTGGTTATTATTAGTTGATAGAATTCAACCAGACTTTTTATTTTTGTTCAAAAGCATCTTTCTGCACTTTTCCACATTTTAAACTGTATCAAACAGGCACAAAATTGCATTTTGTGATTTAACAAAAGCATTTGATTGAATCAACCACATTTTTCTTTTAGTTTTAATAATCTAAAATCATGTATAGCATAATTTAAATACTACTAAATTCATAGTAAGACAGAATTATTTCAAATTTACAATCAGATTTATTTTTAATAAGAATAAAAATAAATTTGCGGTAGGTGTTCCCCAGGGAGCTGTTTTAGGACCCATTTCTTTTGTTCTTTTTTAGTAGTTGTTTAATAGATTTTTTTTTATTTATAAAGTTTATAGCATTTTTGTTTATAATTTCAGATTCTTTATGTTGAGATACGCTGATGGATCCAAAGGCCCAAGACCAGAGAGTTACAAAGAAGATATAGACTGTGCTAAGTGAGTACATTCAAAGAACTTAAGTATTCATTTTTAATATTTTATTAGTGTAATTTCGAATATAAGTGATACTTTAGTGTCATAGTCAAATTTAATAGTCAATCTAGATGTATTTATGTGAATTATAAAAGAGTTGAGTTAAATTTAAATTGTCTACGAATGGATTTAGAAGTTAATTGATCCATTTTTCATAAATTCATTTCGTCCTTATAATATATAGTTAAAGTTATTTAAATAATCATTTTTTTTTAGTAATTTTTGTTTTTAATTTTCAGACATTTCGATACAACTGATAAGAAAGAAGAATTGTATGCAGAATTAAAAGCAGCAGCAGAATCTGGTTGGGATTTCTCCTCGAGATGGTTCATATTGAATGGCACTAACAAAGGTAACACATTTTTATATATGTCACCGTACAATTGTGAACCAGGTCATTTTCCAATTTTACTACAAATATTATTTTTAATAAAATTTTATATATCGTCAGTTTATAAACTATCGAACTGACATGAAATTGCGAATTGGTACAGTAATAATATCTTATGGGAATAAAGGTGGGTTTCTGAGACTAATATCTGTATAAAACATATCGTTATTCTTTTCCTTTGAATAATATGTTTTAAACCAAAACTTTGGCCTCAGAAATCCACGGTAAAAGTATAAATGTATATTATTATATATTTCTATTAATTATTTTCTAGGCAATCTAACAAATCTGAAGACTAGATCAATAATACCAGTGGACCTGAACGCTATAATGAGTTGGAACGCAGAGATAATGGCTGACTTCTACCAACATCTGGGGAACGTGGACAAAGAGAGATACTACAGGAACACGCACGCTAGATTAATGGAAGCTATTGAAAAGGTAATATAACTAATATTATAAATATTTGTATGTATGGATGTTTGTTTGAAGGTATCTCCAGAACGTCTGCATAGATCTCGATGAAATTAGGCTATTTATTAATATTCTAATTCCACACGGACGGAGTCGCGGGCGACAGCTAGATACATATTAAAAACATTGGGATATCTGTATGTAATAAAATATGTCAATATTTCGTACACAAGTATATATTTGTTAGCTGATAACAAAAAAAAATAGTTTTTAAAGATTTTTTTTGTATGTCTGTATGTCTGTCCGTTAACCTCTGTAATCTCCGGAACAGCTGAAAGTTAGCGTGGACATGTTATAGGCTTTTTAAAATAGTTATATCTTACTAATAATAATAAATAATAAATTAATAATAAATGGATGGATGTTTGTTTGAATGTATCTCCAGAACGGCTGTATGGATCTCCATGAAATTTGTCATACATATAGAACATAGTCTGGCTACTATTTATGTTTTTAATTCCGCGCGGACGGAGTCGCAGGCGACAACTAGTTATACCTTAATGACAACAAAATTCGAATTTCTTTCCCATAGTTAATTAGTGTAATACTGAATTGCAGGTGTTATGGCACGAGGACGTGGGGGTGTGGCTGGACTTCAGCCTGGAGTCGAAGCGACGCCGCGACTACTTCTACCCCTCCAACGTGGCGCCGCTCTGGACCGGCAGCTACGACAAGGCCCGCACTGAATACTTTGTCAGACGAGTTATCAATTATCTAGATAAAGTTAAGGTAAATCCTATATATTTAGCTCTGAGCTTTCTGAACGTAAAAGAATAATAGAGGCATGAACGACTGATTGGATAGAAAGAGATGGAGTTATGAGAGAGAAAGGGAGACATATAGACAGAGGTAGTCTCGGAAACCCACGGTCAATCAACAAGAACATAATTTATATTGCCTTGTATAGAAATTAACCTTTTTTACATATTTTGTTCGTCCAGGTGGACATCTACGAGGGCGGTATCCCCACGACATTTGAGCACTCAGGCGAGCAGTGGGACTACCCGAACGCGTGGCCTCCCCTCCAGTACATTGTGGTGACAGGACTCGCCAACACCAAGCTGCCTGAAGCCACGCGCCTCGCATACGAGATGGCCACCAAGTGGGTCAGATCCAACTTCGAGGTCTGGAAGCAGAAGACTGCTATGCTGGAAAAGGTTGGTTCTGATTACTCTCGCAAATCCATAAAAAAAACTATTTTTATCAATATTACCTCTTACTAATATTATAAATGCCAATGTCTTGATGGATGGATGGATAGATGTTTGTTAGAAATTTAGCATAGATGTAGAACATAGTCCAGAAGAACACATACGCTACTAATTAAGTTTTTAAAATACGCGGACAGAGCCGCATGCGATAGCTAGCTTGACAACAAAAACAAAATTATCATTTTAATTTTCATAGTCTAAGAGCTATTGTCCAATCCCCACTAACTACTTTCAAAAGCGAGAAACTCGAATAAGTGTAAAACCTCTATAAGCGAGAAAAGTCTCGCCCATCCAGTCATTTTAAGTCGAATGTTAAATACTTAGTTGGTTTTTTTAATAAAATGTATAATTTTCAGTACGACGCGACAATATTTGGAGGGTACGGTGGCGGCGGAGAGTATGTGTTGCAGACCGGCTTTGGCTGGACCAATGGTGTTGTGATGGCGCTGCTCAATAGATACGGAGGTGAGCGATATTCAGCTTTATATATATAGTATTAAGGTCGCATATCATTTGGTTAATTTCATCAACATTTATAACAGATTTCTTATACCCCATATCGTAGGAAATGTCATAATTTTTTTTATTTGGGGAAAAATATTGCTTACCTATATTAAATATCAGTGTAACTGCAAAATATATTATTTTATAAAGCAATATTTTAACAGTTAAAACTGTGCTAAAAACTAACTTAAAATCATCATTGTTTTTAATTACTAGTTGGGTTTCTGAGACATGAAAATCTCTGTATAAAACATATCGTTATTCCTGTTATTATCTTTGACAAAAGGTTTATTTGGATATTTTGGTGTCAGAAACCCATGATAAGTAAAATTCGAAGCTATTTCCATCAGAGTAAATTATTTTTCTATTTCTAATTTGTAGTGATAAAAATTTAAAACATTTGTCTATAAAAACTTTAGCTGCAGCTTCAAAAATATTAATTTAAAATTTTTCTTTGTTCATTCATTCGTTCATCACTGCAGTCGGAGAGGGTACGTTCATTTCAGTTCACTTTGTCATGTAGCAACACTAATTGTGGGTTTCTGACACCAAAAATCATGTTTAAAACTTGTTTTGTCAAAGATAATTACCGGGATGATGATATTTTAAATAGATTTTGGTGTCAGAAAACAATGGTAATAGTAGATACTGTGGACTTTCACTGATGAAACTTATAAACAATATATTGCCATCTCTGTCTGTTTCATACAGAATGAAAGGGATGACACTATTGTACAGGTTTGGCGTCAGTGAAAGCCCTAGGAATACATGTTTAGATTATTATAATATAATATTATTTATTATTGTCACGAGCGCTTTTTTTAATTGGACGTTTTAGGAGAATTTCTTTATTAGGCGTCAATATAAATGAATACAGCCAAAGCAATTTAGTTCTACTGTTAATGACATAAAATTCAAATCTGAAAAACACTTAATTTTTTTTAGCTCTTTTATTTAATTTGTGTCTTTCGTAGTAGAGAATAGTAGCTTCTTCTGCTTTATACAAGCTGTTGTAAAAATTATTACATTTTATGTTTCTTGACAAACTGTTTTCTATTACATATATTTATTGCTTTTAAATAAGTGCTGATTATGATTTACGAATAATTATTTTTATTTTACAAACTGTCCATAAATTAATTGACTCTCGACCTGTATAAGCGAGAATCTAAAAGACGGAGATACTTTTCTCTCTAACCCGAGTTTCTCGCTTATGGAGTTTGTCGGGACCTGACTCTCGCTTATAAAGGTTTCTCGCACATCAAGGTTCAACTGTATTTTTACAGAAATTGTATTTATTAAAATAAGCCACAATAAATATGATATTTAAATTAAAATTATAAAAAAAATACTGTGGATTTTAACTGCAGTGTTTTGTCTTCCATATTGTCATCTCTTTCTTTCTCTTTGAAAAAAACAGAGACAAATATCACGTTAACATTGTGGCTATTCTAAAACTTAATATCTATGTATTTATCTTTCCTATCTAGCTGCATGTAAACATCTATTTGGCTATACACTAATTTATGGGTCCTGCTTCTATAATCTATGGTCACGGTGATAAAGGGATTTATATTGCATGAGGGGGCAATGGTTACTTTTAAGTTTAGTTTAAAATTAAGTAATAAAGTTAATTTCTTAATATTTTTACAAATACTGGACGTTCTTTGAAGTTTGTATTTGAATTATTCTTAAGTATTATTGGTTTATTATTGTTAAACATAACTAAAATTGTACTTTAAATTACAAAAAACTTAGCAAACTATTAATCAAGTTTTAAAAATGGCCGAAATCTGACAATAAATTATGGCCAGTAACAAAACAGCTGGCAACAAATAAACATTGACCGGTTACAAAATAAAAAAAAAATATATCTGGAAGCCCATTGGTTAGTGTATAGTCGGCGTGTCGTGCTGTTGCACTGACGCCTGACTATTTGACAGAGCGGTTGTCATCAGCGGAGGCGTTCGGCTCTGATGCGGTGGATGGCGCGGTGCATGGCGCGGCCGTTGGTGCCAGCGGGGTTGCCACTGCCGTGCTCGTTGTCATGGCCTCTGTCGCTGCAGGAGCGTTAGGGTGAGGTGAGTAAATAAAGTCAATTACCATAATTATCTTACCTTCTTCTATAAAATTATAGACCTCTTATCATTTGTAATCTTTTCGTGTAACGAACGGGTAGGTGAAGCTGACTAGGCGAAGTATGAGACGTATTGGTAGGGCACATCGATAATCTATTCGGTTGCTTGCCACCTTATAATATAAAAAAAAATTGTGTTTATAATCTAAAGATTTTTAAGTCACTGGGTAGATTGTGATGTTTGGGAAGTCATGCTTAGTACTCCAGAAAAGGTGTCTGCCCTTTTTCTTTTTTTTTAGATTCTTCTATAATACATCTATCTAGAGATACTTGCTTTTTATATCATTTATCTCTCTGATCCTCTAAGGGCGCAGTTTCATTGGTTAGCACCCGTATGCGTGGTGCGAGAGAAATCAAGTTCTCACAAGCTATAGGCATGCGAGAACAACGACCGACTGACTGAATGACTGACTTATTGTCCAATGTAATTGCGCCTTAATGTTAGAACAAGTAAATGACATTTAATCATGTTGTTTTCTTCATTATTAATTTTGTTTATTTTATGTTTTGTTGCAGATATTTTTTGGTGTTATCTAGCAGAGTTATGAGGCACATTAAAAGTAAGATCATTCCATTTTACTTTAGTTTTATAGAATTTTTAAAATGTTTATTTTATTCACAATTAAATTTAACATATGTTAGAACACTTTCACACTAACGTATATTTATTTTGTAGTGGGTTTCCATACCAAAATACACATACATAAACTCAGGAAGAAATAAAAATTGAGGCACTTTTTATCACATTTGTCTCGGCTATGGGAACTCATTTAAATAAACTTTTAGACAATTAATTTGTACATTATGTATTGTAAATACAACTACAATTACAACTTAAATGCTTCACAAACTTCTATCCATATCCATACTAAATGTATATCCATATATGGATATCCATAGAAGAATCACTAGGATAGAAATCCGTTATCCTTTACAAAGCACATTTGTAAAAATGCTTTCATTTTTATTAACTGCTTTAAAATTAGTTGCAACATAATTTATATTATTAAATAAAAAAATCAACAAAAATCGACAGTGTGACAGTGCTCTAATATTGTAAAAAAGTTTTTTCTTTTCAGCCTTTAAGATGTATATAGAAATATTGTGAATTAGTACAATGTATTATTTTGTTTATCTCCTTTATTTCATATGTAAATTACTATAATTTCTTATTTAATCTATAATATTTAAGAATAAGTACATTCGAAACTGGATAAGCGAGAAACAAAGGGATCGTGTTTGTTTCTCGCTTACAGAGTCTGACGCGAGTTTCTCGCTTGTGAAGGTCATGCGTCGACTTGAGTCTCGCTTATAGAGGTTTCTCGCTTATCAAGATTTGATTGTATTTCTTTATGTTTTCTTCATTGCACTAAATTAATCTATTATACATTCCTTTCCTATTTTACTATAATAATGTAAATTATTTAGAGTTTTTATTATATTTAGGTGTTTTTAGTGATTCATAGTTTATTAAAAATAAATAATATTTACTTAAATGTTTTAATCTTCGTTATAAAATAATGAATTGTTATTTTTAATTTACAACTTTATATTTTAGCTATAACAACTAGGCAAGAGATTGATAACTTATCGTAACAACGTGGCATTTTATAAAATGTTTAATGAGGTCATATAATACGTACTTCTCAATTTTTCTTGCCAGTCTAACACACAAATTTGTGTAACTAAAATGTGTCGTGCCATTGGTCCCTTGCTCTAAACTACCAAAAAAAGACGCATTTAAAGTTCTGTATTTGAGAACGATTTCTTAACAAAAAAACCTTTATTCAATGAAACTAGAACTATCTTCTGGAAATTTATAACGTGACAATCATCGTAAATTACAAGCCCTAGTGTCCATGACTCTTCCTTGTCTAGATATTTCCGGTTGTAGCCGGATAAATCAGTCAGGCAGCTATTTTATGCTACATTGCTATATCCCGTAGCTAGGTTTGCCATATCGTCAAACCTAATAGACGGACAGACCGGCCAGTTTGGCCGGACATTTGGGTAGAAAGGTTACCCTACATGCGACCGTTAGTCGACTCTTGTAGAATGCGTTCGGCCACTAACGTTTGCGAAATATGTAACAAACCTAACAAGCGCCGGACAACCCGGACACTATTTGTTTTGTCCGGCTTTATCCGGACATCTAACGCTATCCGTAACTATTTGTATGATTTACTAGTATTGACCTTCATTTCCGGTAAATTATTGAATTATTTTAACTCTATGATACCATTCAATAAAATAAATAAATAGGAAATTAGTCTTTGAGTAATGTGAGTTGCATTTAAACTCTTTAGAATCCTTTTGGAATTCTGAAGTCCTATTAATATTAATAAATGCGAAAGTTTCGATGGATGGATGATTGTTAGAAGGTATCTCTGGAACGGCTTAACGGATCTAGATGAAATTTGGCACCGATTTAGAACATAGTCTGGAAGAAAACATAGGCTATTTACTTTGTTTTTAATTCCGCGCTGCCAGAGTAACCAAATTAAAATAGCACCAACCGTATTTATTTCAGACAGGCTACGTGTTTCCAAACGCAAAGAACTTTGTTCAAATACATTTTGTTATCTCATGTTACGATCAACTCATCACTGCATTGTGAAAATTGCCTACAATTGTACCTGCAGTCTGACGTCAGATCGCATGTGCAACGTGTAGTATAATAGGTTTCCTGTGATAAATCTAGCTTAGCGCTCCGAGTTAGCGTTAAGGTTGAGGTGAATGTCGCGTTGTCCCGTCGCGCCATTTCTACTGTCAAGGTCGCCATATTGCTTTAACGTCAAATTGTTTCCCGCCATTTTGTACATCAAAGATCAAAGAATGACATAAATAAAATACTTCCATTTTTTATTAATGTTTATTTAATTTTTTTACTTCAATATTATTTACAAAATAAAGTCAATTGAATTATATTAAATTATAAATTTATGGCTTTTTACAATCACTTAGTAATGAAGGTTAAGAGTATTTAAAACAATTTACTCGCAATAAAAAGTATAACTACAAAGATATAGATATTTAATTACTTTATTTTTATTAAGAAGTTTTATGAACTCTTAAGCTACCTACACACCTTTATTTTTAACTAAACAGTCGGACTGTACACTTGAAACTTACTTATTTAGGAGAAACTGGGAACTGTTTATTTGAAGGTTACAATGTAGCTATACTACACACGTACGTTTTAAGGCTACGTGTGTGGCTGGGTTTAGTTATGTTTTAAACAAAATTTAATTCGGAGTATTATAACCACCTCTTGATTTGATCTCTGTTTGATTTAAAGAGAAAAAAGGGCTTACAACTTAGGCCCTTCGTACACAAGGCAACGTATATCGTCTACGCGAGTCCACTGTATTTGCTCCGCCATCTTGAAAATTGCAGCGTCTTTTGTACCTACAATATTGAAAAACAAATGGCAAGCGACTGTCTTTGGCGATAAGAGCTAGAAAATCGGTACGCGCTTTGTACGAACCTTTATCAAATTGCGTAAGTCTGCGACTAAAATCGCCGGGTTTCGAAGTTTTACGTTGCCTTGTGTACCTAGGGCTTTATTGTCAGTATGTCATTTCAAAGCAGATTTCATTATCGTCTATACTAATGTTTTCATTGTCCAATTTCCCAATGGGTACAATCAAGGTGCCTTGTCAAATGCATTGTATAATTATAGACCAGGACAAGGCCGTTAGGACATTCATGTATTGTCTAGTCATTGTACTGAACGTAGTCTATTTGTGACCCAAAATATAAGCGATAAGCGATTTTAAGGTACGCGTCTATTCGCCCGTGCGGGATGCACCACACGGCTAGCAATTGATTGCTGTTTAGTAAATGCCGTCTTTCGATGCGGGCGGCGCTGATAATGGACGCAACACGTAAATACAAAGCAAACAAAAATTCGTTGCGTGCCGTGCGTGCGGTGCGTTCGGCGTGGGTCAATGGACGCGTTTATAAGCTATGTTTATAAAACCCGATTAGAAAATATCGCTCGATTAATTAAAAACATTGTAAGTAATATTATGGTGTTAAAATGAACTGTTTTGTTTTTTTTATTGGATCTAAATATTGTCATGTCAAAAACGAATACTAGACCAAAGTTCTCAAGCAGTCTTTTTCTCTCTTTCTTCTCTCTATTTTTCTTATCATTTTCTCAGCCCTCTTAACTATTTAATCTCCGCAACCTAAAGCCAATTATCATAAAAATTAAAAGATTAGAAAAAGTCTAAATTCTCTATTTCCTATGACTTGGACCAAGCCATATCTAAACGTACAATCACATTCCTTACACCATACAAATCTATAGCGTAATTATACATAAATAGAGTCTAAAATAGCTTGTAAACTATTGGCAATTCACCTGCAACCTTGTCACATCGCTGGATAACGATTTTATCTATTTGTTTGTTCAGTTTCATACAAATATAGCCTTTTGTGTAAATTTATATTACGTCCTTGTTGTACTGAATAACACCGTATCTTTTAATCTGTACAAAAGAATGTTGAAATATGAATTTGATTTTAACAAACATATCAAATGTTTGTGATCACAGAATCATTTGTTTCGTTGTTCACTTGTCTTGAATCTTTGTTGAAATTAAACTGCATTTATACTAGCTGTCGCCCGCAACTCCGTCCGCGCGGTATAAAAAACAATTGAAAAAGTAGCTTATGTGTTCTATAAGATTATGTTCTACGATTATTAAAATTCTTTAATACATATTTTTTGAGTAACTTAAACCGTTGCAGCGTACGTAACGATAGTCCTCAAATGTGAAAAATTTTCCTCTTTTTTGCAACATTTCTCACTAATGCTTCGCTCCTATTGGTCGCAGCGTAATGTTATACATCCTTAAGCCTTCCTCTATAAATGGACTATCCAACAAAAAAATAATTTTTCAAATCGGACCAGTAATTCCTGAGTATAGATGAGAGATGAGTATAGATATAAAATTCTCGTGTCATTATGTTAGTTACCATACTCCTCCGAAATGTTTTGATAGATTTTTTCAGTAGATCTGAGAATCAACTACTATCTATTTTTCATACGATGTCAAAAAACATAGATTCTACTGTAGATTAGGGATTGGTTACTTTTCTTCTTCAGTTCTCCCTATTGTCGACCGTTTAATGTACCCGTCGCTGAAGTTGGCACATGGAACAAAAGAACACTCTTGTATTCTACGTGCCAACTTATATACCTGGTTTTATTTTTATCCTCATTACTCGGTTTATGGTCAGAAATAAATATTTCTGTGAAATCATTTTCCGTGTATTCATTAATAAAATCACTAAACGTTAAATCCCAGGTATTTCCGCTTATATTTTATTAATTTCCTACATTACAATGAATATTCACAAAGTTTTGTACCTATTGTTTTTTCTGTTATTTGTTTTATAGCTATTACTAGTAAAAATAAATAATTCTTTTTCAATATTAATCATCATCATCAGCTCACTATACGTCCTCACCGAGGGTCTCGGAGCCCACCCTAATTTAAGGGTGATTAGGCCATAGTCAACCACGCTGGCCAAGTGCGGGTTGGTTGACTTCACACATATCTTTCAATTTCTTCTCAGATATGTGCAGGTTGCATCACGATGTGGAAAACATGTGATGTGAAGGAAATTCACCGTAAGAACGTCGGATAAATGTACATATGTAAATCGGAAATCGAAAAACACATTGGTACATGGCGGGATTCGAACCCAGGACCCGCAGATTGCAAGTCAAGTGCATGACCACTGAGCCACCGACGCTCAATATTAATAAAATATTAGAAATTACTAAAAATTTTAAATAATGGTATGAAAAAGTTTAGATTTCCAAGTGTTTCCGATTATAATTTTCGATAGAAACATCCAGTATACGTTAAATAACCGTAGGTTTCAGAGACCATAATTTCTATAGCACATCGTCATCCCTGTTGTATTGGTCAAAACAGAGATAAAAATGTTTTTAATACGGAGATTTTGGCTTTAGAAACCCGCAGTAAATATTTGGATGATGTCATATTTTATCTAGTACTAATAAATCTTAGTTTACTTTAATAATTTTCAATAAACGCGCCATTTATTATCATATATATTTGTTGACTGAAATAATAAATAAAATTACGAATACACAAAAACTTGTTGATCCTACAAAGTGGGGACAGTTCAGGGATGCAATAGCAATATAGAGGGTGTCTCTAAATATCGATCAAAAGTGGTAAGCCTAACTTAGCCTAAATAGGTGTCAATTTTTTTTAAGATTTTCTTTCTATTAAGTTCAGATGTTGAATTTCTCGGTTCCCATAAAGCTTTACAATTTAGTTACGTCCTGTATATGATCTCAATTTATGTATTTGAAAATAAAACACAAAACGGGTACTGTATTTATTTAACGATAAAATAACTGCTTACTTGAATTACTTGCTTACATCCTCGGGCAAATCTGTAAAAATATAATTTTTATATTAAACTATTAGTTGCAGACGACTTTCTCCGCGCCACATTACAAAAATCTAGTAATTAATAAAGCCTTTATCGCGATAGTGTAGCTTCCCAACTGTGAAAGTATTTTTCAAATCGGTTCATTAGTTTCGGAGTCTATTCAATACAAACGAACAATCAAATCTTTCCTCTTTTATAATATTAGGTATATATGTAATAAATATTTATTTCATATATATATCAAAATGTTCGGAAATTCCAATAATTTTCATTTCTGATAATAAGCAAATTACTATTTACTATGTATAAGGTTTTTATTTAATTCCTGCGACGAAAACATTTTTTAAAATTAATAATTAAGTACTTATAGTATGTGAAAATAAAAAAATAATTATAAATAGAAGTACTGAATTGAAAAAAAATCTAGTCATTTAGTCGCTTTTAAGTTATATTTTGCAAAAAAATAAACGTAATACAAAAAATGTACACCTGTATATCTAAACAAAACAATAGCATTAAGTTAATGACTGGCTATTAATATAAATTATTTAATAACTCATAAAAGGCTGAATTTTTAAAAAAATTTGCCAATACATTTAAAACATTTTAGAAAAAACCTTTCGATCAAAAAAAAACCGAGCACCAAGGGCGGAATTACGCGATAACACACAAAAAAAGAACAGACGAATTGATAACAACCTCCTTTTTGAAGTAGTCTAATAAATTTACCTTGTGTTTGTTAGTTTCAGCTCGAAATAGGTTTGCTTAATTCCTTCCAGCTTTATTCCATTTTACAGTAAAACCTTAACAGGGTAGAGAACCGTTCACTTTGACGGTCAGAATATAACTGAATAGAATCTACAGATTCGAATGCGCACGCGCATTGTGCGAAACCAATTATTCCATCTCTGATATACGGGATGTTACATTTTGTAGTGACATTTTAAAATATATTATCGTAATTTTTAAACGAGTTGTAAATTCTAATTGCTTATTTGAGCTATATTGATTACAAATAATTAAAATTTTTAGTACCGAAAAATAGTTTGCGATTTTGTAAAATTTTATCATAAGTCCATTTTCGTGTGTCTGAATTTGAACGAACTGTAAAATACTGTTTCTTATCACAGTTATGTAATATTGCACTGTTTCCATTAATTTCCGTCAACTGTCATTCATAAAGTGCGACAGTAATACGCCCACGACTCTCTTAATGTCCTTATATGGTTTTGACGTTATATTAGACGCTGACAGCCTGACTCTTCCTATTTAGCTACATAGACTAAGTGTAGACTTACACAGTTTGAAACAGACTGTATACGATTTCTATTCACTGATATTTTTTAACTAACAGAGATAACTTCCTTCATTAGTAACAACTCACGTTTAATAAAAAAAAAACTTCACATCACATTCTATATCAACAGTTTATTTCCATTTTAAATTAAAAAAAAAAATCATAACCTATCATTCCAGCCAGCAATAAAAATCGTTTAAAACACTAAAGAGGTTTTACTGTCATCGTATGTTAGATAAAAGGCATCTGTGCATAAACAAAGTCTTTATACACTGGCAAACATATGATTATGTAAGGACATTAAGACTTAACGATGCAACACAAAGACCTCTATTATGTACTATATATTATGTATTGCAGTGTATACTAACTTTATTCATAGTTAAGATAAATCTGATAACAACATAGATGTTAGTTAAAGATTATTTAGATCCAAATTCCATTGACCTAATAGACGCGTTGTTGCCTTGTATATTTCCACTGGCACCGCATCCCGCGGTTAACGGCTAAGTGGAATTAGGTACTAATGTAAACTTGTGCGTCGTAAGTATGTGTAGTAACATTCGAATCGTATTCCGTTACGGAATTTCATGGCTATTATAATTTAAATAAATAATTTCTTGTTATCTCTTGTCCTTAAAATGATACGGGCATTATCAATACTCTATGTCCTAGTATTCATTTGCGCTAATTGAGAGTTAAACTATCGTTTTAAAATTTAAACATGGATTTCTAAGACCTAAATCTCTTTAGTCGCGGGCGATAGCTAGTATACACATATTTACGAGAGTGATGTAACTTTTATCATGGTATCGTTTGATTTTTTAATCATATTTTTTTTCTTTACAGACTCATGGTATACTGGAAGAGGAAGGACTATATTACTCTGACTGGAGGGGAAGATCTCAAGTTGTTATCAAGAAGACCGTACACTGAACTAAGAAGTATGAACGGATCATCTAACCAGAGGCAACGGTGAATTAGAAAATACCCCTACCACGGTAACTCGAATGTATTAGTATAAGAAAAAATACTGCAGTGACATTTGTACTTTAGTGTCTATTTTTGTCAAAGATAATAAAAGCTTCATAGCTTTCGTTATCTTGACAAAGACATATGAAGATAGTGAAAGCTATGAAGCTTTCATTATCTTGATAAACATGAAAGCCAAGAGTCACGGCAGTTGAATAACGGTTAGTTATGAAAGAATTGGTCGATGGTATTACTAGATTTAAAATATGACGTATAAAAGATAGTTTTTTTTTTTTAATTTGCAATTGAAACTCGAGCAATCAAACGAAAACTTCTCTTAGGTAACTATTTTTGTCGGATGTATTGTTAGTCATTTTATAAATTACGATTCAATGTCGAAGTAACCATTCTTGATATCTTTTGGTAGTGTTTATTAAAAACAACTATATTAAGCAAACGTGAGAACTTATAGGAAAAAATTATATTAAAATAAAGCAATCAAATTGCTGAGTATTTAACGTTCGAGTTTAGTTAATTTTCGATCGAGAAATAAATGGTAGGGGTCTAATGTCAAAACTCTTATATAATACGTTTCTTGCTTAAAATGTGTATAATATCAGTTCTTTAAAGCGCTGTGAAGATTAATCTGTATTTTTGTTTTGTATATAATAGTAATAAGTAAATATATTTTCTCGTATCATGTGATTTAGTTATCATGGGCGTTGAAATGGTGCAAATATTCAAAACATCCTCCTTTCATCTGAAGTTAGCTAGGAAAGAGTGAAATAGCTATATAAGTGAACATAAGTGCGACAGAGACAAAACATTTCTTACGTATTCTATCGAATGAACACTTTTTTGATTTAATTAAATTTTTATTAAATCTTACAAATAATTAATTTTGAGAATGGCTGTGATTTGACTTTGTATTCAGATTATTCTTCTCAAAGTATATAAAATATTTTAGCATCTTACAACAGCCTGTATTTTGACTTCATATATACATTTTTTGGGTAAAATTAATTTAGCTAATTTATAAATTAAATATTAGTAATATAAATGTATTGATATTTGGTCAAAACGTTTTAGTGTAGCTCAATTTACTTTCGCGATTAGAAGCAATATTTGTATACTGTTGTATTTATTGCCAAAACTTGTAACATATAGCCATCTCTTTCCATCTTGTTGAAAAAAATGGAGACAGCTATATTTTTACAAGTCTTTCGGCTATGAAATTTCACAGTAACATGGCGTTGTGAAATCATATTTTTTAATTTTTAAAACCGGATTTTAATTTTGTTAGATTTTATTTCAAATATACAATCGCTTTAAATATTTATATCTATTTTAAACTTATTATTAATTTTGGTCATAAAATAAAAGGATAAATCATTGAAATCTCCTTTGACTATAAAGAAAAGGACTAGGCAAAGAACCTCGTCGTTGTACTAAATAAACTCCGCCACATTTTCAAAGGGTTAGGTAAATAGGACAATCTCGCTTGTTGACATTTATTAACGCATCCTGACTTAAGAATTTATTTTTAAGTTAACTTGTTGCTTGAAGCTTTACAGGTCCTGTATCTTAAAAGTCAAAGGAAATCGATTTCTGAGATTATAAATATTGTGGTTATTATACAATTAATAAAATTTGAGTGTCTGTATGTAACGTCGATAAAATGATTCGTTTATTTAAACATGACGTATCCAAATTGCTTACAATAAAAAAATTCTATCTGTTTGTAAATGTTTTTTCCGGGTAATCTCCGAAACGGCTGGACCTTGATACGTCATCATCAGCTCACTATACGTCCCCACCGAGGGGCTCGGAGCCTCCCCAAGTTAGGTGACTAGGCAATAGTCAACCACGCTGACCCAGTGCGGGTTGACTTCACACATATCTTTGAATTTCTTCTCAGATATGAGCAGCATCACGATGTTTTCCTTCACCGTAAGAACATCAGATAAATGTACATATGTAAATCACAAATCGAAAAACACATTGGTACATGGCGGGATTCGAACCCAGGATCTACAGATTGCAAGTCAAGTGATTGACCACTGAGCCACCGACGCTCTTTCGATACGACTTTAATTAAAATATAGCTGATGAATGCGGGAGTAACATACAAAGTCACGGGCCACAGCTAGTACGTAATAAAACGAAAACACCTTGTAATGTTATTTGGATATATTTTGACTTATTCCCTCATTGTTTTATAAAGGTATGTAATAAAAGACAAGTATTACGACAGTGGAAACTCAAAGTAAACAAAATATAGGCACTTTCAATATTGTTGTGGGTTCAAGGTCACGCGTAGTGTCCTTCCCGCTGCATGTATGTTCTGTGTAGTGACTCATACGAACTTCTGAGCCGACAACATATTTGAATACTTTTATAATTTTAAATTTTCTTATGTATTTTTCCTACAGTTTTATATTAGGTTATAAACTGAGTATTACTAGATTAATTTTGTTATCTTTAGTTTGTAAGTAGTGATTTTTTTTTTTTTTATTATTATTTTAAATGATGTAAATAGTTCGCTTGCATTTATTTTTAAATATGATTTCAGTAACGCCATAATTATTTATGCTATTATATTATTTTGTCAATTTGATGATTTATATGAAATTTGTTTGGTTAAAAATGGCGCTTGGATATTACAATGATAAAAAAAACAAGGAGCACGACTGACTTTTTTCCGTTAAAGTGAAAAGCCAAAGTATGAAAATCTGAGAAAAATCATATTTGAATTCAAGCGTCATTTTAACACGTTATTAAGTAAAATAATTATACAAAAATTGTTTTAAGCCAAGGAATTTGTAAATAGATGAAATTTATAAGTAAATGTATCATCACATTTGATTTTTCTGTTTTTTTTTTACTAATAACATCCCCTTACATTCTCCTAAGGACGTAGCGTAGTGTATGCATAAACGTAGTGTTGTTTGACTCGAGCGTACACACCATAAGTACAGTCAGCGTCATATAGATCGTAACAGACAAGATATGCAAATATATAGGTACACCAAAAGTAATCAATTATATCGGTACAACAAAAGTCCTCAAATTAATAGATACATTCACCCTGCTCAAATACATCGGTACATACACAGCGTCAAATATATGAGTACATGCAAGGTGCCCATAAATATCGTAGCAGCCACAGCGTCATAAGTAACGAAGCAGTCGAGTTGCGCAAAAAGATCGTAACATTTGACAAAATTGAACTCTATCTCCATATACTTGTGATACAATTTGGAATAAACTACTTCTGTTACATTCATTTGACACTTTGTATAAACATTATAGGTTGTCCGGAAAGTTCGTTCCGATTTTCGATATGAAGCTTACAATAGACTGTAGCTGAAGTGGATTCATTTTCGGATTTCCACCACTATCAAACGTCACAAAAATTTCTATATTGTGTATAATTTCATTTCATTGGTTGAGATAAATACTAATTACTAAATTTTTGGCCAAATATAAAAGACGTTTTAGATGTAGAGTCGTACCAATATAATTTAAAAATGTTTCCAAAAATTTACGAGAACAGGGTTTCAATTTTCCTTATAAAGCGGCATGAACTTATTGGGCAACCCAATATTTTTCTTCTCCTGTCATAACGCTTAAATATAAAAGTTTGTCACGCTGAACATGACAGATACGTCATATCAAATTTTGCCTTGTCACAGTATATACTAGTTTGGCTCAGTATCCTAGTATGTTTGCCGCAATATGTGTATTTTAAGAGTGGTAGAACCCGCTTTAACATCTTCGCACGAATCGGCCAGGTTCGTTCGGTGAAATACCACCACCACAAAGTAAACAGGCGTGAAGTGGGAGCAATTCCGCGTTTCGTCTGATGAGTGTGCGTCTCGGAGGCTTAATTTAGTCCTCTTTCCCTTAACACCCTTTTCTTATAAGGAAAGCATGGGAAGTGGAAGTGGATGCATGGAAAGGGAAAATATTTTCTTTCTGCGCATCCTCTCTTCTGTCGATTAAAGGTAGGTAACGCATATGCAATTGCGTATGTCTATGGGCAACGGTCACTTCGCTACTTCAGCGATTTCAGGTGGCCGCTCGCTCGTTTGCCGCCTTATGATATAAAAAAAATGTAAGTTTACCGGTTCGAATCTCAGGCTACTTTTTTTTTCATTTTATCAATCACTTATACAGGGTTATTTTTTCATGACCAGTAAAAATTTGGTAATGTAAAATTTTACTCGACAATTTTTTTTTTTTTTTATAATTTTCGCTGTCGGGTAGAAAGAAATTTAAATAAAGTTAACAAGTATTAGGTCAGACCATCGCGGGGTGAAGTGAGTGGGCGGAGCGTGGATTGTCATTGCGGGTTTTATGAATGGTACGCGCGGAAACTGTACGTACAAGTGTTATCTACATATGTGTGCGCGCCCACGCACACTGGAATGTTTATTGCAATCGACCAAAAATTTGATGTAGTTTGGATATTGACATTCAGGTTTTTTTCCTTGTTTCGTAAATATAATCAGTATGAGTAAAAGGTAACGTGATATTTTTACCGGTAGAAGTTTAATAAACATGAGGAATAAACAAATTACATGCCAATAGCATCGCTTTATCTCCTTCATTTTTGTTTGAAATAGAAAAGTACTTTAACGGTCAAACTCATTAGTCCAAGGCAATATCAAAAAGTACCTAATAACTACGGCGATAGAGTTTAATTACATGTGCTTCGATATTAAAATTAATAAGCTTATATATTAAAAAAAATAGTGGCTTGGGATTTGAACCGCCGACCGTACGTACCAACGGCAGCGAACGGTAAGGCCACGAAACCAAACTTTGGTTTTATCTACCTAATATCTGTCATCCGCGACGAACACTTTTAGTAAATTTTGAAAAATGGTTTGATGCACAGTGTCAAATCAATTTAACAGAAGTAGTTTATTCAAAAGAAATTCAGAATTCAAAATACATTGGCGACGAGGATAAAACCGTGAGTACGGAAATAAACTGTATTTGAAAAAAAAGGAAAGAGAAGATCAGTGTGTAAAAAAAAATAACATTTCAGTAATTGATGGACGAAAGTATTGTTTAAATTATTATGTCTTACTTTACAAAAAAAAATTAAAATAGAAGGTAATGGATTGCTAAAAATAGCAAGTCTTCTCTGTTTACATATACACATGTCTAAGGGTCTAAAGGTCTAAAGGTCTAAGGGTCTAAGGATCTAAGGGTCTAAGGATCTAAGGGTCTAAAGGTGTAAGGGTCTAAAGGTATAAGGGTTTAAGAGTCTAAGAGTCTAAAGGTCTAAGGGTCTAAAGGTATAAGGGTCTAAAGGTATAAGGGTCTAAAGGCATAAGGGTCTAACGGTCTAAGAGTCTAACGGTCTAAAGGTATAAGGGTCTAACGGTCTAAGAGTCTAACGGTCTAAGAGTCTAACGGTCTAAGGGTCTAACGGTCTAAGAGTCTAACGGTCTAAGAGTCTAAGAGTCTAACGGTCGAAGAGTCGAAGAGACGAAGAGTCGAAGAGACGAAGAGTCTAAGAGTCGAAGAGTCTAACGGTCTAAGAATCTAACGGTCTCAGAGTCTAACGGTCTAAGAGTCTAACGGTCTAAGAGTCTAAGAGTCTAACGGTCTAAGAGTCTAACGGTCTAAGAGTCTAACGGTCTAAGAGTCTAACAGTCTAAGAGTCTAAGAATCTAACGGTCTAAGAGTCTAACGGTCTAAGAGTCTAAGAGTCTAACGGTCTAAGAGTCTAACGGTCTAAGAGTCTAAGAGTCGAAGAGACGAAGAGTCGAAGAGTCTAAGAGTCGAAGAGACGAAGAGTCGAAGAGTCTAACGGTCTAAGAGTCTAACGGTCTAAGAGTCTAACGGTCCAAGAGTCTAACGGTCCAAGAGTCTAACGGTCCAAGAGTCTAACGGTCCAAGAGTCTAACGGTCTAAGAGTCTAAGAGTCTAACGGTCTAAGAGTCTAACGGTCTAAAAGTCTAACGGTCCAAGAGTCTAAGAGTCTAACGGTCTAAGAGTCTAACGGTCTAAGAGTCTAACGGTCTAAGAGTCTAACGGTCTAA